TCCCATGATACTGATTTAACTGGCCCTGGCGACTGGTATTTGTAGCCTCCTCAATGATTTTAAAATGCACTGAAGGTTGAGAAACTACCACTTAATTAATACCACCAGCAAGCACAATACTTCTGAATGGTTGAAGTTTACCGCTTGCCAACACATCTTTACATCCGTGATCTCATTTGGTCCTTGCAAATTTGCCTGCCTCTGAAAATAGGTAGGCTAGTTTTTATGACTCCTATTAAGTTGAACGAAACAAGGCACAGAAAAGGTTAAGTCACTAGTCCAGGGTCACGTAAGTGATCAAGTGGCAGAGCCAGGGTTGGAGCCTCGGTTTTCTACCTCCCTGTGAATGCTGACCTCGGTGAGAACACCAGGAATGTTCACAGAGGATGGAATTAGAACCCAGAGTCCACACGACACGGTTGTATACAACCTGGAACCTCGCTGGATATCGGCTAGGTGGCCTTTGCATTCTGAGCGTGGTGCCCAGAGCAACCTGGCATTCGGAAGGGGCAGGGTCGGTAGATTCCCTTGTGACTGAAGTGTGTTCAGATGTGGAAAAGGGCAAAGACAATAGAGCCACATACTCTGGACATACACCTGCCGGTGACACCTCAGCACCTGTTTCTCCTCTATCTTTCCTAAGATTATCTCCTTTTTTATGAAGTTTGTGCCCTTCTATTTCTCAACTTTAAAAAACACATCCACTGTACAGACACGTTACCATGGCAACAAAGTCCCTCTTCACTGCTACTTTTTGCCACCCCAAATACCAACTTTGTGGCCACGGATTTCCTCACAAGAACTGAGGTTGTATGATAAGCCAGCTCATGAGTCTGAGAAATCAAGGTGCAGGAATGTCCACAGTCCTGTCCTCAGAAAACAGACATAAGTCTAAACACACTTTGCCCCAAAGCCAGTTCACTCAAATACTGATTCCTGCCAACACCTCCAGACCCAAGGACGCTGCTAATCACCTCAGTGGACTCGCTGCTGCTGCTTCTTCTTCGGTGAATGAGAGTAAACAGTAAAGCTACCAGCAGGGCTGTGGCCACCAGAGACGGGATGCCTGCGGCTAATCCAATAGAAGGCCCACAGTCCTGACACAGAGAGAAAAGCAGAGTCAGATTCTCCAAGAATAAAGGAAAAGTTCAATCAATTAAAAGTAAGAGTCCTGGCTGATGTGGCTCGGTTGGTTGAGCATCATCCCATGTCGCTGGTTCAATTCTCTATCAGGGCACATGCCTGGCTTATGGGCTCACTCCCCAGTAGGGGAGGTGCAGGAGGCAGCTTATCGATGTCTCTCTCTCTCTCTCTCTCTCTCTCTCTCTCTCTCTCTCTCTTCTCTCTCTCTCTCTCTCGCTGAATCAATAAAAACTTATTTTAAATAATAATAATAATTTAAAAAGCCTTCAGGGACCCTTAGTGTTATACCAAATCCAAACAGGTAATGAAATTATTGTAAAAAAATTGTTTGCCAATGTACAGTACATGGGCAAGGGCTCAATTTCATAGGATTTAATTTACATAGTTTAAGTCAATTAGAAAAAGGTGATTATCCAGTAGAAAAATGACTAAGAACATGAACAGGACATTCTTAGAAACAGAAATACAAATGTTTCATTAACTGAGATATGATTCAAAGCAATAATTAGGTGCCATTTTTATCTATAGGTTTGGCAAAAAGTGAAAGGTTTTATTATATCCCACACCATTTTGATGTGAATTTTTAAAATTTTATTTACACTAAATGCATTAACCAATTAATGTTCAAATTCCCACTTTGTTTTGATCCAAGTGGAAATAGCCACATAAATTTTCAGATTTGCAAATTTTCTGGAATTATCAAAGATAATCTGCAGCCCTAGTTGGTTTGGCTCAGTGGATAGAGCATCGGTCTGCAGACTGAAGGGTCCCAGGTTCGATTCTGGTCAAGGGCACATGCCCGGGTTTCAGGCTCGATCCCCAGTAGGGGCATGCAGGAGACAGCTGATCAATGATTCTCTCTCATCATTGATGTTTCTATCTCCCTCTCCCTCTCCCTTCCTCTCTGAAATCAATAAAAATATATTTTTAAAAGAGAATCTGTATAAATGTGTGATTCTCATATGACATAAATTCAGAAAAGTATATCAATCATAAATATATAGATTGGTGACTTTTCACATAAGGAACCCAGCACCCAGATGAAGAAACAGAACATTGCCAGCACCCAGAAGCCCCTTTTAGTCACCCCGTGTGTAAGACTATCCTGAAATCTATCACCGTAGATTTGGCTGTTTTTCAACACCATATAGATGCATATAGACCAGGGGTGGGCAAACTTTTTGACTCGAGGGCCAAAATGGGTTCTTAAACTGGACCGGAGGGCCGGAACAAAAGCATGGATGGAGTGTTTGTGTGAACTAATATAAATTCAAAGTAAACATCATTACATAAAAGGGTACGGTCTTTTTTTTTTTTTTTTAGTTTTATTCATCTCAAACGGGCCGGATCTGGCCTGTGGGCCGTAGTTTGCCCACGGCTGATATAGACAGTATGTACAGTAAGTCCTCACTTAACATCTATAGGTTCCTGGAACGTGGCGAAACAACGTACAATCAAACCGGTTTTACCATGGACTGATAAATAGAAACAAGAGCTCCGTTCCTACAGCATCTCGCCAATGCTATAATGAAACAGTGTTGAACAAAGCATTCTTCCAGAATCTGCCAACTCTTTTGTGTCTAGCTTCTTTCGCTCAACACGTTGTGAAATCCATCTGTGATTTGCATTCTCTCCCTCACTTCTGAGCTGAGTTGGTCATAAGAATAATAGTTGAGCCAGAGTCTGTGCTTGGTAACAGCTCACATATCAAATTCATTGACCCCTCCAAAGAAATGCACAAGCTGGGTACGGCATCATTACCCCCGTTTTAAAAATGACCAAACCAAGGCTCCCAAATTTAAGTGGCATACTTACCACTTCTTTCCCACCTGTAACAACTGGAGAGGAAGTCTGTGTGGAAAAAGAACATCTATCTTAAGAAAACAAATGACTATTCTCTGTGGAATGAATATTATACAAAACAGTCTGTCTGCCAAATGTGAAGCTATCGTGCCTAAAATTCACCCCTTTGCTAAACGTTCTATTAAAACAATAGAAACAATGACTGCCAAACAGAACCTTACTTGACTGCTTTCCAGGTAGAAGAAATGAGATTCTTCTACAAGGAGACAGAATTCAGAAACTTGGGAGAAGTCTCTGTTATGTACCCCCGGGATTTGCCATGACACCCTTTACAACTCAAGAAGGCTTTCGCCGGTCCCTAGTCCCCACCTCCTTCCCAGCACACTTTGGGTTTCCTGTCCCCACTGCCAGAGGGAAAAGGTAAAGACTGGTGGAAGCTGGTGAAGGACACCTTATTGTTTTCAAACATGCAATGAAGCAAGTGGCTGTGGGGGATCTGAAATTGTGACCTGTCCATGTGTCTGGGGTAATGCCACACTCGATCAATACTTTGCATGTTTCCGGTTCACATCTCCACTGAAGGAGAGACGCTGGATCTCCCCTTGTTATGAGCTGTTTCAGGTGATAGTCTTACCTGGGTCAATAACTCTAGGGAACCAGATCTACATGAGCAACCAGCCGCTGTCCACTATGCTGAGTGGTCCAGTGTGGGGTTAAGAGTCAGGTCCTGGGCTCTCTACCTGGAGGGGAATGGCAGTCTCCACTCACAGGCTAAGGGGTCAGATTTCTTTATCTGTAAAATAGGATGTCAGTACCTACCTCCAGGGGTGTAATGGGCACCAGGAGAATAAGCCTTTGTCATTCTTTGAAACTCGGCAAAGCTCGAGTCAGACCTGTTATTTACTTAATATTCTCATCAACCTCATTAATATCTTGTCTCTGGGATTGAGGCTTTCACAATTTTTGTCTCTATTTCACACAAAAAATGAACTAGATCTCAGAGACGTCATGGGATTTTGTCTAAGGTTCCACAGATCCTCGTAAATCTAACCTGGACTTGGGTGCTTGAATTCCATGCCTAGGGCTCTTGCCCGAAGATTTCCCACCAAAGGAGCAATGTGGTAAAGGAGGCATTGACATTTGTACTTAAATGGTTGCAGTGCTACCTGAACACAATCTCACCCCTCCCCCATCTTACCGTAATACTGCATTTGCCTAAAGTGTTTTATTTCTCTGGGTTGTGGTAAAAGTTGAACATAATTTCAGGTAAGATGTTCTATTTTCAGGTTACAGAAATTCACTTCGGCTGGCTTAGACTCCCCAGAGGATTTAGGGGTGCTTCGTGGAGCCCCAAAGCAGTGGGAGTCTGGCTCCTCCAGGGACCGGAGCTGGGGTCTGGGAGTTTGTCAGGACCAAAGCCATCCTTCCTAGGACCTTTCCATCTCTCCCGGACACGTAGCCTTTCACACGGGCACTTCTTTATCTGCTTCCTTCTTCTCACTGAAGATGAGTTTTTCTGCATGGTCTGGCCCTGAGCCAAGCTCTTAACTGCTGTGTTACACTGCCTTCCCTGACCCAATGCTGCACCCCAACTCAGTTTTTGCACTTGACAGTTCAGTATGGCCCAACAGGGACCACTTGCCTCTGTGGCCGTGTTCCCAACTCCCTGCAGAGGCTCTGATGAGCCAGGTATCCACCTCTGCCCCTTCCCAGGGCTCTGGCACTCAGCTGCACCAAAGGGAGGGGTCATATGGTAGAGACTTAACCGCGAGGTAGGGTGACCGACCGTCCTGGTTTTCCAGGGAAGTTGCCTAGGTTGCAGCACAGTTGGCGTTAAAAGCAGACGGTCCCAGGCAGATCAGGATGGCGGGCCACTCTACACAGGTTCACAGGGAGAGGGGACAGTTCCCAGAGAAATGGCTGTTAACCAAGAAGGCACTCCAGAAGGTGACGACCAGCCTCACAAGGACCTCTCCTCGCCCACTCCCCTCTCCCCTTCCCCCGCAAAGCAATGGCTTCTTGCTCCTCTGAGTTACCTTCACAGGGTGGCCTCGCCAGGATAAGACAAAACCTGGGGTCGCTACAGACCTGCTGAACCTAAGCAGCTGGGGGGCGGGGGGGGGGGGAGTTCCAGCTGGGACCATCTTAACAGGCTTTGACAGCTCAGGAGAGGGAGGGGCATTTGTCTGCCGACAACAGGCAGAGGCTGAAGCAGGGAGCCCAGCGAGTCAGGGAGGCTCAGAAGGCAGGGTGCCACCAGGAGGGTGCAGCAGGTGCCAAGGGAGTCTGGGCAGATGCCCAGGGCAGCCAGCAGGGGCCCCCGGAGGCCGGCAGTGAGTGACAAGGCCCTACCTTCCCGCTGCCCTCCAGGACCGGGCCCTCGTGTTACAGGAGACTTGAACCCTGGCTCAGGTGTCCGCTCATGAGGTAGATCCAGTTTATTCTCTTCGAATAACCATACGACTTAACCGGAAACATTTGGCACAGTGAAACCCACTAGAAAACTGGGCCAGGAAAACGCCTAGCTCCACCACAGCAGCACTACTGGTCAGAAACAACCCTGGATGTTGTTTTCTTTCCAAACGGTGTATTTACAATGTTCAGCCTTGAAAAAATGTCAGCAGCCCCAGCTCCTGATCGGGCCTTTGAAGAGCCAAGTGCCTGCAGGTGAGGTGTACACGCTGGTGCTCTGGAGGCCTGGGGAGGGTCTGCGGTGGCGCCTGGTGCATGGGGCTGCTGGACTTACCGTGTTGGCCGGCAGCGTGAAGTTCAGCGAAAAACTCTGCAAAAGAGAAGGAAACACTAAAGCTCTCGCGAATGGCCAGCCAGGCCCCCGACCGCTCCACCAGTCACTGACCCTGCAGTTCTAAGAGCACTGACTGGCCAGACAGTGTCAGTCGGCTCGTGTCCTCTCCCGATCTCAGCCCACAAAGAGGGCAGGGGAGCAGATGAGCCTGAGCATCAAGTCAGTCCTCAGCCAGGGCCAGACCAAGGGGCCAGCCTGCAGGACTATTGCCTGGGGGACCCCAACCCGGGAGGCCAGTAAAAACATTACTAGAAATTCAGCAAAGTGCTGAAAATGGTCCTCCTCACCCCAGAATTGTCCTCAGGGAGGGACTGTGAGCATTTAGAAACACTTGGCACTTGCTGTTTGGGTTCGGAAGTAAGACCTCCCCGGGGCCGGCTCCGACCAGAACACCGGCTCCCCAGGTCAGAGCCTGAGAAGGCAGAGGTTCCAGGCTGGGGGCTGAGCGGGTCAGGACCACAGAGGAGAAGCCAACCCTTCTCTCCCCTCCCCTCACTCAGCACCCAGCTGCCCCCTCCCCCTAATATGGAGTCAATGGTTTTGTTTTTTTATGTATTTATTGATTTTAGAGAGGGAGAGGGAGAGAGAGATAGAAACATCAATGATGAGAGAGAATCATTGATCGGCTGCCCCCTGTATGCCCCCCACTGGGGATCAAGCCCACAACTCAGGTATGTGCCCTGACCAGGAATCGAACTGTGACCTTCTGGTTCATAGGTCAATGCTCAACCACTGAGCCACGCCGGCTGGGCTGGAGTCAATGTTTAAAGTTCATGGGCTCAATGGGGCACCAAATTGTTCACCTGCCCAGGTGCCCACTTATCTGGGTCAGGCCCTGCCAAGGGCTCCACTGGCCCTTCCTCCTCTCATCTCATCTCTGTCACCATCGTTTGGCTCATCAATGCCAGTCTTTCCAGGATACTCTTTACCGAGAGCAAGATAGACATTATTCTAGGACATTAGAGCAAGAGGGTCATCTGGGCCACCACAGGTCAGAGTCTTCTTCCTCAAGGGACCTAACCAACCAAGCCCACGGATGCTGCAAGGACACTTGCTGGTCACTGCTCGGAACACAGCTGCCCAGAGCCTTATCTCATCGGTGAGTACTGGGTACTGACGTCAGCAGGCCCAAGACAAAGCTTCCTTTGGGTGGACGGCAGACGGGAGGAGCAGCAACAAGTGAGCCATTGCATGTGCTGTTTATCAATATTTGGATGACGAAGGTTTTGGCCAATGTCAGAAAGACGTCTATGTTTTGTAGAAACACACTACAGTGCTCTCGCGGAGAGAAAAACACCACGTAAAGTTGGGTGGAGAAGAATCTGACGCAGTGTTCTTTAAAGAGGCAGCTGGGTGGGGTGAGGCAACCCTCCCCTGGGTCCGAGTCCAGGCTCAGCCACTTAGAAGCTGTGTGGCCGTGGAAAAGTGATTCAGACTCTCTGGTCTCCATGTCCTCACACAGATCTCCCAGGCTCAGGTTTTCCATCCTCAGAATGGGGACACGACCAACGTGCCCTGCCCACCTTACAGGATAAGTCCACCGGAAATGACACTGGGGGCAGCTCCACCCGAACTGTAAAGCACGCAGGTGTGTGAGGGTCCACGAGGTGCCATACTCTTCATGGCCCAGCACAGAGCAAGGCACAGGGCAAGCACCTGGGAAGTTCTTTTTGGATGGAATCGCATACATACGTCAGCAATATTCAAAGTACTCGAATTTGGTCTAATACCCTTGTTGCTAAAACACGCTCATTGTAAGTCTAAGCCAGCCGTGGGCAAACTACGGCCCGCGGGCCAAATCCGGCCCGTTTGAAATGAATAAAACTAAAAAAAAAAAAAAAAGACCGTAGCCTTTTATGTAATGATGTTTACTTTGAATTTATATTAGTTCATACAAACACTCCATCCATGCTTTTGTTCCGGCCCTCCGGTCCAGTTTAAGAACCCATTGTGGCCCTCGAGTCAAAAAGTTTGCCCACCCCTGGTCTAAGCACATTATGATGTCGACATGATGGTTCTGAGGCTCTTTAGGATCTCAGCGGCCGAGTGGCACTTGTTCTGGTAAGTTTGCTGTTGGTGAGGGGAAGTAGAGAGAGTCGGGTAATTACTCCCTGTTATTGAGGGTGTGCTGAGTTTCAGATGCTGCGCTCACCACCTCCCCGTGAAGGGCCTGCTCTCATCCCTACATCACGGGTGAGAACTGAGACCAAAATAGGTTCTTGAGTGTCACCAGCTGGTAAGTGGTCGGGGCTGTGTTGGATTGTAGATCGTCCTAACGCCAAAGCCCAAATTCCACTCCTTTCAATTATCTCTTTAATAGAGAATCACAGAAGCCTCTTCTGTTTTCCCTTTTAACTTAGTAAACCTCATTTGAGTCACAACCAAATATGTATCACAAGTCAATAAAAAAGGTGGAAAGTTTCTGATGCAACGTAGGAATATCTGTATTGCTGACTGAACAATAAAGGATAAAGGCATTGATCAGACCCATTGCTTCACCTGGGAAGTGAATTTAGCTGAAACATCTACTTTGTACCCTTGCCGTATGTGAGGTGTTATAAACAGAACCTTAATATTTAAATAAAAGACGAATCCGGCAAATGTTTGATGAGAACTTTACATAAATGATTAGTATTTTGCTCATAGAAAAGTAATTTCAAACCAAGCCCCTTGACTTCATTGCACCACAGAAACAATTCTATTAGAATTAGAGAGGCGAGTGTTAAAGGCCTGGGAATTGTTTGTATTCAGAGAGAACGAAGGTTAGGCTGAGAGAAAGACGCTAGCTGTACTTACCATCCCGACAGCCTCCCGAGAACCTTCTCCAAACACTGTCCTCCGCAGGCTCCTTTCTCTCTAGAGCTCTTGGCTTGTGTCTCGCATTTGCAGGGACATCCAACTGGGAGAGCAGGGGTGACAGGGCTAGAGGTGGCTCCAAGAGAGCCCTGGCCAAGCCATTTATGGTCAGGGGAGTAGCCGAGTCCTCGGCCCATCCCTCGAGGAAGATGGTCCCCTGCTCCATGCCACTGCGTATCCAGGCTCCACAGAGGCCAGGTGATCTTTGTCAACATCCATTATCTCAGACTCCCGTTCCACCCTCTCTGCCTGTATTTCTTGTCCTTCTTACTTTTCAGGCCCCTTCCTCCGTTACACTTCCAACTCAGCAAAGAACCCACAGCTGGCCCGAGAGCTCAGAGGCCCCTGCAGCTGGAAACTCTTTAGAAACAATGGGTCCCACAAGCCGAGGCGGGCCCAGCTGCTAGCCATCGGCATCCCAGCGAGGATGGAGTCAACACGGCACCAGCATCACCGTGGAGGATGCCTGGGAGATGGGGGCTGGGACCTGCTCTGTATGTGAGACGGGACTGTGGCTGCCGCAGCGAACACACACCTGCCTGGTGGAGGTTAGCCTCACCCCTTTCTGTTCGCACACGTTGAATGGGGGGGCTCCTAGAGCTGGAGGGGGCTGTTGACACGGGCTGCTTTTTATTTCTTCTGAGTTCTCTGTTAGGAGTGAAGGGGTTGGAGTGCCATGCCAACCAAACAACGGAATTAACACCAATACATTTGACCATTTAAATAAGTGAGTTTCTTAATTTATTTAACAAATATTTTTTGCACCTTCTACCTGTTGAGTATTATTTGGGCACTGCTCTCAGAATTGGTGAAAAAGACGAAGGAGGCCCCAGCTCGTAGGGAATGTACATTCCAGCGAGGGCAGGGATCACGGTGGAGGAGCAGCTGGGGTGGACGGGAACAGCGAGCAGAGTGACCCAGAGGCCGCTGAGATGACATTTACGTTGCATGTGAAAGAGAAGAGGGTCCCAGGCAGAGGGGACAGCAAAGGCAAAACCCTGGGGCTGAAGCAGTCTGGCACCCTCACACACTCGACAGTGTCCAGCTTACCTGGAGCAACAGAGACCAGGGAGGGACCTCAGAAGGAGTTAAAGACTGAGTTAGAGACCTATGGTGTGAGCCGGCAGGGCAGGTAAGATTTATACCAGGGGTCCTCAAACTACGGCCTGTGGGCCACATGCGGCCTGCCGAAAACATTTATCCGGCCCGTCGGGTGTTTTTGCCGCCGCTGCCTGTTGCTTAGCAGCCGACTAGTTTTTTTTTAAACTATAGTCCGGCCCTCCAACGGTCTGAGGGACAGTGAACTGGCCCCCTGTTTAAAAAGTTTGAGGACCCCTGATTTATACTGTAGAGCACTGGTTCTCAACCTTGGCTGCACATTAGAATCACCTGGGAATCTTTTTAAAATCCTATTTCTGGGCCTCATCCTCCGGAAATTCTGTTTCTTTGTTATGGGGTGAGGCCACAACATTAGTAACAAAGAAACAGAATTTCCGGAGGATGAGGCCCAGAAATCAGGATTTTAAAAAGATTCCCAGGTGATTCTAATGTGCAGCCAAGGTTGAGAACCACTACTGTAGAGCAGTGGGAAGCCTGGCCAGGGTTTTCAGAGGGACGGGAGCCTGAGCTAATTGATGTTAACAAAGATCATCTGGCCTCTCTGTGGAGCCTGATTACAGGGGACAAGAGTGTTAATGCAGACGCTGGTTCGCAGAGTCCAGTGAAGGACGATGGTGGCTGCCCTGGGTTGGGGCAGTGGGAATGGAGACCAGGTAATGAGTTAGTGACTCATTGTGGAGACACTAGCAATGAGATTTGATGATGGGGGGATGGGGGGGGGCGGAGAATGTGGGGCAGGGGATGGGAGGGAAGGTGAGGGAAAGAGCAGAATGAAGCCAACTCCTGGCTTTGGGGCTTGGCTCACAGAGGGGATGGAGGCACCATTTAGTCAGGTGATAATGGAAAAATGGATTTAGGGTGTGGGGTCCAGGCAGTGAGATACTGACCTGGACAAGACCGATTTGCTCTTTGCCTCATGGGGTTTCCAGTTCCCAAGATGATCCCTAAACTGAGTCTATTAGTGCCTGGGCATCGTGGAGACACAGTCCAGGGAAGTCTGTGTTGAGAGTCCTAGCTGCCCTTCTGGAAGCTGTGTGGTCTTAGGCAAGTGAAGCGACTCCTTCCAGACTCAGTCCCAAGCTATAAAATGGGGAGGATACTGTGACAATGACTGGGCTACTTACATTACACAAGTGGTACAAAGCATGCTTCCAACTTTGATGGGTGTAGGATCACACCTGGACCAGATAACTGGACCAGGGAACTCCAGCTCATGGTTCCAGCCTCCTCTGTGGATGGGCAAGGCCAGTGAGGTCCTTTTTGATTCTTTTTGTTTGCTATGTATCCACTGACCACCAACTCTCCCTCCAAAGGGCATGTTAATCCTTTAGAAGAATTGCTAAGACCTCTCTAGTCTGTGGTGCCTAGGTCAAAGCATCAAAACGGACTCTGATTACTTTAAGAAGGGGACTTCCTGGTTGGGTGTAGTGGAGCTCACAGAAAGAAGAGAGGGGCAGGGAGCTGGGTTCGGGGAAGACAGGGTAGGCTGCTCCCGAGGCTTCAGCAGCAGGAACTCCTGGACAGTCCTCTCATGGAATAGCCTCTCACGAAAAACAAGCCCTAAAATATCTCAGCTCCTTTTCCTCTTGATGGAGACTCTAATTCCAGGAAGAGGATCTTATGGTCTGGCTTGAGTCATGTGACCTAAGAGGACCTGCCACCTGGCTGACAATCTGCCCGGTGTGGTCCCTCCACGACGAGAAGAGGTGGTTCTGCAAAAGGAACTTGGCACCACCACCCAAAGAAGGGGGCCTGGGTGAAGGGCGCTCTTCTCCTCTGGAAGCATTAGTCCTGAGAATTATTTCCTGAGAAACTGCAGAAAGAATGCACTTAGTGGGTGAGGGGTTAGGACTGCCAACTCTGAGATTCTCTGCTCCTTTATGCGTTGCCACCATTTAAATTTGTATAAGCCCAATCACACTGATGGCTTGCCAGGCAACAACTGGTCGGTTTAAAAAGTCGGTCCATTCTA